TTGCTATGAGTCGGAATTGACTCGACAGCAACAAGTTTGGGTTTTTTTTGGGTTAATGAAAAAATTATAAAACATTATTAAATGACATCTAAATAGACTGAAATAAATGAAAAGGCAGCACATGTTCTTAGAAAATTGTTCTCCCCAGATTGTTATTTCCAATGCACTTCCATAAAATTCCAAGCAATTATTTTTTAGAACGTTAAAAAAAATGCATTAAAAATGTTATCTGGAAGTACAAATATCCATGAATAGAGAAAATGTTCCAAGGAAAAGGGAATAGGGGCTTGTCCAAACATGTCATATACATAATTATACTTTCACATATTTACTTTATCAGTAAGACAGTGCGGTATCAGTTATTAGGAAAAAAAAAAAAAATCACTGCTGTTGAGTTGATTCCGACCCATAGCAATCCTCGTGATGGAATACACAAATAGACCAATGGGAAAAAACAAACAGCCCTGGCAAAAGCTCACCAATCTATAAAAAAAGTTGATTCATGACACAGCATGGCAGTGACAGAAAACACATACACTTCAATATGTGAGGTAGTGTCAACTAAATGGAGTCCCTGAGTGGCGCAAAAGGTTAAGAGTTCTGTTATTAACCGAAAGGTTGGTGGTTTGAGTCCACCCACAGGGACTTCTGAAGAAAGGTCTGGCAATCTACTTCCAAAAAATCAGCCACTGAAAACCCTAGAGAGTACAGTTCTACTCTGAAACACATGGGGTAACCATGACTCAGAATCAACTCTACTGCAACTAGGTTTTTTAAAAAATCAATTAATTATCTGATTGGAATAATCCATTCCCATGTACTTTTGCTGAAGATCATTCAAAAGCAGCTGCCATCAGTACACTGACAGGGAACTGCCAGAAATTCAAGCCGGATTTAGAAGACAATACGGAACCAGGGATATCATTGCTGATGTCAGATGGGCCCTGACTGAAAGCAGATAATACCAGAAGGATGTTTACCTGTGTTTTATTGACTACCCAAAAGCATTTGACTGCGTGGATCATACCAAATTATGGATAACATTGCGAACAATGGGAATTCCAGAACACTTAATTGTGCTCATGGGAAACCTGTACACAGATCAAGAAGCAGTCATTTGAACAAAACAAGGGCATACTGTATGGTTTAAAGTCTGGAAAGGTGTGCATCAGGGTATCCTTCAGTATGGATTACACATCAACATAAAGAAAATAAAAATCCTCACAACTGGACCAATAAACAATATCATGATAAATGGAGAAAAGACTGAACTTGTCAAAGATTTCATTTTACTTGGATCCACGGTCACCACCCATGGAAGCAGCAGTCAAAAGAAATTAAAAGAGGTTCTGGGCAAATCTGCTGCAAAAGACCTCTTTAAAGTGTTGAGAAGCAAGGATGTCACCTTGAGGACTATGGTGCACCTGACCCAAGCCATGGCGTTTTCAATTGTGTCATATGCATGTGAAAGCTGGATAATGAATAAGGAAGACCGAAAAGGAATGGACACCTTTGAATTGTGGTGTTGGAGAATAATATTGAATAAACCATGGTCTGCTAAAAGAACAAATCTGTCTCGGAAAAAGTACAGCCAGAATGCTCCTTAGAAGTAAGGATGGCGAGGCTACATCTCACATATTTTGGACATGTTGTCAGGAGGGATCAGTGCCTGAAGAAGGACATCATGCTTAGTAGGGGGTCACTGAAAAAGAGGAAGACCCTCAACGAGATGGACTGACACAGTGACTGCAACAATGGGCTCAAGCGTAACAATGATTGTGAGGATGGCACAGGATTGGGCAGTGTTTCGTTCTGTTGTACACAGGGTCACTGTGAGTCAGAACCAAATCGACGACACCTAACGACAACCACCACCACGTACTCCACATGTAAAAAATAAATTCCAGGTACGTTACTTCTAAATACGAAAATGTAAAATTATAATACTTTCACAAGTTATAAGCAAATGATCTTATGACATCAGAATTGAGAAAAATTCTTACCAGTAAGACATAAGGGAAGAGACTGACAAATTCAACTATACTAAAATTTACAACTATTCATCAAACAGCAGAGAAAATGAGTGAAAAGATAAGTTATATACGAGGAGAAAGAATCCCGAAGTTCTTTTAAAGAAGATCTAAAAAACCATAGAAATATAAATTAACAGTGGGAAAATATGCACAGCTTTATCAGCAGTGGAGTAGTGTAAGATAATTACAGAATAAAATCAAAGTAAGATACCATTGCACACTCTTTACAAGAGCAAAAATTAATTAGAAAAGCAGATGAAACAAAAATACATATGCATACTTTGTAGGAGGAAAAAGTTGTAAAATGCATTAGCATTTCCTAGTAAATTTGAACATGGCTATAGTTTACAACTTAGCCATTTTCCCTCACTGAAGAATTATTGTGCAGGGGCACATGGCACCTGGAAAAAGAATGAACAGAAGAACAGCAATACTCACAAGAGCAGAACTTACATTTGAACCACTCAAATCCTGTAAACTCTACAATCAGTAGGTACATTGTAATCCATTCAAACAATGGGAACATACATACACAGGCACATGGGTAGACTGCAGCTGCGACACCAATATGAAACTCAAAAGCATCCCGAGGAAACAAGTCGCTGAAAAACCCAGAGTAATAACTGAATTTACAGAAAGCTCAAGAGGCAAAACTAAACAATATAAAGTTTACGTATTAAAACCTAATCTAGGCATAGGTGGGAGGACAAGGACCTAGAGTGGGGGATTCATGGCTTCCACACACCTGACCCACACAGGATCCAGATGGACTCACTGTCCATACCTTTTGTGATATCAGAAGAACACCAATACCAACTATAAACATTTAAAGCCTTCACCTATGAACTCTCTCCCCCTTTACAACCCATAACCCATTAACAACAATTCATTATCAAGCCTCACCCACTTATAAGGATAATCCAGTTCTCTGCAGAACTCACCATTTCCTTGCTCCAGCTTCTGGAAGTCTAAAGGAAATTCCTCAAAACGTGCCTCTTACTAAATGTTTTCTTCCTGAAATTGGGATAAATATGGTCCTAAATATACATACACTGGGCAAAAGTGCTGCAAGAGACCCCTTTAAAGTGTTAAAAAACAAAGATGTCACCTTGAGGACTAAGGTACGCCTCACCCAAGCCATGGTATTTTCAATCACCTCCTATGCATGTGAAAGCTGGGCAGTGAATACGGAAAAATGAAGAATTGACACCTTTGAATTATGGTGCTGGCAAAGAATACTGAATATACCGTGGATTGCCAGAAGACCAAACAAATCTGTCTTGGAAGACGTACAGCCAGAATGCTCCTTAGAAGGAAGGATGGCGAGACTTCATCTCATGTATTTTGGACATGTTATAGGAGGGACCAGTCTCTGGAGAAGGACATCATGCTTGGTAAAGTAGATGGTCAGCAAAACAGAGGAAGACTCTCAAAGAGATGGACTGACAACAGTGGCAGCAACAATGGGTCAAGCACAACGACTGTGAGGACGGCACAGGACCTGGCAGTGTTTCCTACTGTAGTAGGGTTGGTGTGAGCGGGAATCAACTCGACGGCACCTAACAACAATATACATGCTAGTTCCAGCTCATTTTTAATTCATCTGTCTTAAACACCTATAACCGTTAAAGGAGGGGGAATATATTCCTTATCACAATCTTACCATTTGTAGGACTAAAAAAAAAACAAAAGAAATCCATTGCCATCAATTCCAACTCACAGCAACCCTATATAACAGAGTAGAACTGCTCCATAGGGTTTCCAAGGAGCGGCTGGTGGATTCAAACTGCCCACCTCTCAGTTAGCAGCCGTAGCACTTAACCACTATGTCACAGCAATACTTAACGAAAGTCCTGCCTCGAAAAAGCACACAAAAACAAAAACATTTGAGGCAGGAAAATTGTGATCAAGAACATGCCCCTTTGAAATAAGAACAGACCTGAATTTGAGTTCAGACACTGCACTTACCAGTAGCTTTGTCCATGGGCAAGCTATTTAATTTCTTCGAGTATTATTTTTGCAAAATGCCGCAAATACTCCCTACCTCGCAGCGTTGTTTTGTGAATAAAAGGAGGTTCAGTATATACTTTGCACAGTGCCCCCCCCAAAAAAACTGTCGCCGTCCACGTGATTCCAACTCATAGTGACCCTATAGGACAGAGTATAACTACGCATAGGGTTTCCAAGGCTGCAATATTTAAGGAAGGAGACTGCCCTATCTTTCTCCCACAGAGGCTGGTGTGATTTGAACCGCTGAACCTTTCAGTTAGCAGACGAGCGCTTAACCACTGCGCCACGAGGGCTGCTACACAGTGCCCAGCCCTTCTGAAATAGCTCAACAAATGGTAAGTTTACATACAGGCCGAGGGGTGACTGAGGCCTGATGAGGCGCTCAAGGTTGACTACAGTGTGTGTGCGCATGGGTTAGGGAGTGGTAGCAGGTGAGGACAAGCGTCTGGCTGAGGCTGGATTGTTTAAAAAAAAAAAAAAGAAAAAAAAAGGGGAGCACGGTGAGCAGTAGACTGGAGGGGGTGGGAGCTGAGCATTTAGACTCAGACTGACTACCCTGGGCATCCATGAGGCCTGTGACTCTGCATTTTTCACAAAGTCCCAGGTGAAGCTGACGTTGCTGGTCTGAGAACCACGCTTTTGCTTGGCGAGGATTCACAGGTTTTACCTGTTAATGCACCAAGAAACACAGGTCCACCTCACCTACTTGGCTGTCCAGAAAGCAGCAGCGGCCAGTGGGCCGGGATCTCGGAGGAAGTAGAGCGGGGAGCGGCGGCAAAGCGGCGGAGCCAGGCACAACCGGGCTACCGAAAGTCTCGGGCTACAGGAAGTCCCGAGGTTCTGGGGGGATGGAGAGACCAGGAGTGCACAGGAGAGCGGGGGCAGCGCCCCGGGACGTGAGCCTGCGGGGTCACCTGGTAGTGGGTTACTCTGACTGGCGACAGAAGCAAAACCTACCATTCACCGCAGCAGAAGCGCGACGAAACGTGGCTGCCGACCAGAGGACGCACACTTCCGCTTCCGTTTTCTGGGACTCTCGGTGCCGCAGGGGAGGGCTTCCGTGTGCGAGTCCAGAGGGCACTGGGGTGAGTGGCTTCCCCTTATATTTGGGACCTGGCCACTGCTGTATTTATGTCCTCTATAGACAAAAACCTAGGTATTCTTAAATGCGTGTATGAACTGAAACGCGGATTTCAGTAATGAAAGATACCTTGGGGAGCAGAGAAAGTTGGTATTGGAATATTTGGCCATTTGAAAACATTTTACCATGTTCTTTAGAGAAATAATTTCTTTACTCCTCATAAATATTTGCTCATCTTTAGAATTGTTGAAGTCTCTAGTTTGGCTTCTGTTTTCATGGTTTGTCGTCTCTTGCCTATCAGGAATCTTTCCCTAAGAGCAGGATACAGACTGTGCAAACCAAGTATGAGCTCTCCAAGTGCTGAGGACCTCGAGAGAGGAGTTTTCTAGGGTGAGAGGCAGAAAGGTACCCGTCCTTCTGAGGGCTAGTAGGTAAAAGGTGAAGAACTTTTGAAAATGACAATTATAAAATTTTTACTTTTTTCTCATATATACACAGATAGTAAAGCGCATAGTGTGTACTAATCTTAAGTGTACAACGCGATGAATTTTTACATCTGGATATACACTCATATAACCTCTGAGATCAAGTTAGGGAAATTTTCCAGCACACAAGAAGATTCTCTCCTGCCCTTTTTCCAGTTGATACTCACCTAGGAGTAACCAGTGTTCTGACTCTTATTGCCATAGATAAGATTTGCCCATTCTTGGAGTTCGTATAATCGGAATAATACTGTATGAAGTATATTGTGTCTGACTTCATCTAGTCAACAAAATGTCTGTCAGATTTTATCTATGTTGTTGCACATACTATAATTTGTTATTTTTTTGTCACTGTGTTTTATTTCAAGGGATGAATATACCTCAATTTTTTAATTCATTTATTCATTTTATTGTGTTGTTAAAGTTTGTATTATAACCCAGCATATGCTCTATCCTGCTTAATATTTAGTGAGCACTTAGAAATAATGTGTCTTCTGCTGTTCGTGGGTGGAGTGTTCAATAAATGTCATCTAGGTCCAGAATGCTCCTTAGAAACAAGGATGGCGAGACTTCATCTCACATACTTTGGACATGTTATCAGGAAGGACCAGTCCCTGAAGAAGGACATCAGGCTTGGTAAAGTAGAGGGTCAGCAAAAAAGAAGACCCTCAATGAGATGGATTGACATAGTGGCTGCAACAATGGGCTCAAGCATAACAATGATTATGAGGATGGCGCAGGACTGGGCAGTATTTCATTCTGTTGTACATAGGCTCACTGTGAGTCGGAACCAACTTGACAGCACCTAACAACAACAACAGGTCAAGATGGTTGACGGTGTTGTTCAGACCTTCTATATGCTTGCTGACTTCCATATCCTTGTGAAGGTGGGAAGAGGCTGGTAAGAACATAGTCTGGAAAACTAAGAGAAATATGATAAGATCAGAATATTTTGATGTATTCATGGATAAAAGAGTTATGATTAAGGGATCCTCAAATGCTTGGGAAATGTTGTTTCATGTTAATATTATAATCAGGTTTCAGATCACATCCCCAATGTGGTGTTGAAGATGCTATTGGGCAAAATGGACCATTAATCCAATACAGAATTTATCACTTCTTGGGTTTGATTTGCTGGAGGGTTTTGCTTTTATAATTTTGATCAAGATTACAGAAAATGGGACATATTACATATTCGTCATCCTGCTAACTTTCCCTATTATAAAGGGCAGTAAGGCAAGTTGGCCTTGAAGAAGGCTCAAATACCATAATACACCATTACTTAAGGTTGTTATTGTCAAGAAGGCTGAATAGTGCAGTGTCTCAAAGTTCCAAGATGGGAGTCTAAATTGCAGCTGTGTCATGCAGCAGCCATGAGTTTTTTTTCAAGTCACTTCTCCTCCCTCAACCTCAGTTTCCTCTTATATGAAACTGGAGATATAACAGTGTCTTCTCCATAGGGTGTATGAAATTATCTACTTGTGTTTTTCTTTCATCCTTTCCTCCTTCTTTTGGTAATGCTATTATGATTTTCCTTTGGGGAGTTGCCTTTCACTTTGGTCCAAATAGTTCAACTAAGACTGACCTCACTTCCCAGCTGTAAGGATAAACTGGTGACCCTATGCCTGGTACTAAGAGAACCCTGGCCACAGTGATTAGTTCAGCAGTTAGCATGCGACCTGCACAAAGCCATTCATAATCTATTCTGGAACTTTTGCTGAGGTTGTTAGGGAAACCCCACTAGGGTTGTTACCTTGATAGGATGTAAGCATGGAGTTGATGGCATTCACCTCATAATAACATGAGGATAGTCTAAGGATGAAGCAACTTAGAGGGAGGTAGGGCAGAGAGAAAGAAAGTGTTGTTGAGCCCGTGGATACAACCATGACTTTATCCAGCTGTCCCAAAGACTTCCAAGTGTATGAACCAATTTTTTTTTTTACTGGAAAGTTTTTGATCTGTATTCTTACTAATTGCAACCAAAAACTTCTTGACTAATTTGGTTTATTGGGATGATTAATGAAATTATACATTTAAAATGATTAACACAACACCTGACAGGGAATAAATGCTCAATAAAAAAATCTACTACTACTACTATTATTATTATTATGGCTGAGTCAAATGGATTTGGATTTTCTGCAACATCTAATGGAATGGTGGAATAATTTATCATCTGAAACCCGTTGTGATGGTAATTCAGAGAACTTTTGAGTTTTGTTAAAAATTTTTATCTGTGGGCACCAGATTGTTGAACACATTACCCTCAGAAAAGAAAAATGCCACAGCAGCACATAATTTGTGTCAATTATAGATGATATGATTTGTCTTTCCCGTGAGCTGGTAGAAAGGTCAATGCAGACCTTTTTAAGTGGAAAGCTGAAGTTAGAGAATATCATTGCTTTCGGTGTTCAAATCAATTTAACAAAATATGATGAGTAGAAGAGAAAGGGGGAAAAAAATATGTCATGTTGCATCTCACCATTCAGCTACGTGAACAAACATAGAACAAAACTTCTGGTTTGATGTTTTGGTTTTTATACTTGATGAGACATTATATTGATGAAAAAGAAAAAACCCTGGATATCAGTTCTGTCAAATGTGTAATGGACTATTATGAACACTAGTGGTATTTACTTTGTTTTAATGATAAAACAAATATTCTTACTATTTAGGTTATGGAAAATTTTTCATCCACATTTCTTTTGAATACTATTTTATAGTTCCTTTTTCATTTCTATTTTGAACCTTATGTTTTAAGTTCAAACTTCTCTCTCTCTCTCAGTACAGGTAAAAATTTAAAAAAAGGATTTTAGTGTTTTTATATAGAGTATATAAATTTGAAATGCTTAAAACTATTAGTAAGATTGCAGTCTTTACAAAGTGAGGGGGAAAAAAATCTGTGTGTGTGTGTATGTGTGTTAGAGAGGTGATAAGAAAATTTCAAGGCAATAAATATATACAATTGTGTATAGGAGAGGAGAACCTGAATTGAATTTTCTGTCAAAATGGAGGAGACCCAGGGCTGTAGAGGAAAGTCTGAAGTTTTCTTAAAGTCGAAAATTATAAAATAAATACAAAGCCTCAATTCTCTGCCATTTTGAGGGATACTGGGATATAAAACATAAAAAATGAAATATCTGGAAAATACAGAAATCTATTGTGCTATATAGGGAGTCCTGGTGGCACAATGGCTAAGGGCTGGGCTGCTAACCAAAAGTGCGGACGTTCAAACCCACTCAGCGGCTCTGTGGGAGAAAGACCTGGCAATCTACTTTCATAAAGATTTCAGCCAGGAAACCGTATTGGACAGTTCTAGTCTGTCACATTGGGTCACTATGAGTTGAAGTCTACTCCATGGCACCAAACAACGACATTGTGCTATATCTTTGTTTTTTATAATAGGCGTACATTTATAATTCATGTTTGGACTAAGAACCATGTTTGATGTAATAAGAATTTTTAGTTGTGTGATTTGGGCTCATTTTTTGGTGTTGCCATCAGTGAGGACAGACTCTTTTTAGAAACATCCATTCTGGAGCATCTTGGGATTAAAAAATGGCAGAGAATTGGGAGCACTGGCAGTGAGATGCCTCCCTTGAGGGCAGAAATAGAATGGGCTGATGGATGTTTTTGTAACATTCTTGAAATGTTGGAGTATAAACATATGATTTTACATTTTAATGATTCCATTAGTGGAAAAGAAGGTGGAAGTTTGCTTTAAAGTTCAGAATCTTGCACTGTTTGTTCAAAATTTGTTTTGACATATTCCCCAAATGTGCACGTCACTATACTTATCTCCCCATAGCATCTGATATTAAAATAAAGTCAAAGTAAGAAAAAGGCTATTACTGATGGTGACAAGGGCAGTTCACTCATTGCCATCATTGATTTGACAAGGATTTCAGGAGCACCTTAGCATGTCCCAGGAGCCCTAGTGGCACAGTGGTTAAGAGCTTGCTGCTAAGCAAAAGGTTAGCAGTTCAAATCCACCAGCCAGCCGCTCCTTGATGGGGCAGTTCTACTTTGTCCTATAGGGTTGCTATGAGTCGGAATCAACTTGATGGCAATGGGTTTGGTTTTGGTTCTATACATATTAAGATAGAGGGCATAAAGAGATGTGGAAGGCAGGGACCATCTTCACCCTACTGAAGCTTGTGCTTTGTGGAGGAGGCAGGCCAAAAATGCAAAGGCCTACAGGAGGCAGAAAAGGGACCTAAGGTGGTGAAATGGTATGAATTGGTGGCCTTGTGACAAAAGAGGATGATCTAACTAAAGTTCTTCAAGGTCAATTTTTGAAAACTACTCTTTGGGCACGTCTTAATTTGGACACAAGGGCGGGTTCACCTGCTGTCGTGGATGGTCTGTTGCTTGCAGCAGGAGAAAGTGAGACTCACGCAGGAAGGCCA